TTCCTTCCTTCCTTCCTTCCTTCCTTCCTTCCTTCCTTCCTTCCTTCTTTCTTTTTGTTTTTTTCAAGACAGGGATTTTCTGTGTAACAGTCCTGGCTTTCCTGGAATTTGCTTTGTAAACCATGCTTTTCTCGAACTCAGAGATTCACCTGTCTCTGCCTCCCGAGTGCTGGAATTAAAGGCATGTGTCACCACTGCCCGGCAAGCACATTGTTTCTTTCAAGTTGTCTTTCAAATAACTCTTAGAAAATGTTACAGATTACAATATCTTGGTCATTACCAAGGCTTTGAGAATTCAGTTTCTCATTTGCTGTGGACATGATCATAAAAAAGTTCCCAATAGGTTTTTTTTATGTGCTACTTGGCTAGCAGTTAACCTGTTGGGAATATTTTATTCCTGATGAGCAAATACCTATGATTATGTTAGAATGCTCAGGTACTGACCCCTACCTTGTTCTTGTTATGCAGGGTTTAAGAGTACAATCAGATGGAAGGTGTGTATACAAGAAACACACTGAAGGTCATTTCAAATAGGGCTTGTTAGGCTGTGAAACCAAAAGCTCTTTACGCTGTGACCAAAGATTGATGTTCTTCACAGAAGAAAGCAGGCACTTGATAGTGCTGTGTTTTTCTGAGAAGATACATGCATTTTCCCAGTCAGAAGCTGTGAGAGTTTAACTTAATTCTTTTAACTCCCTTCAGAAATCTGGAAACCATGTGACTCAGGATGTAGAGCAATGGAACCAAATCCCTTAAATTAAAATTTATTGTTTACAATAAAAAACAAATTACAATATCCTATCTATTTTTTCTCTCAATTTCTTCTATTGCCAAAATGATAAAATTACAACTTTACGTACAAGCATTTAATCCCTTTATACTTCCGTATCAGCACAGAGATACAGCTTTAATAACAGTAAAGGCAATTGCAAAAGGTTCTGGTATGTATTGACCATTGTTTATGTGCTTATGAATACCACCTTCATATCTAGAATCATCCTCACAGTGGCCCTGTGGAGGAATTACTAGTATTATACTGTTTTGCAGATGAGAATGGTTTGGACATACAGATGATTGCTCACTAGAATTGACTACATACAGCTGCTTCCAAAGACATGTTGGTGGCGGGTAGGTCAACCATGCTCCAGTATGGTGATACATACAAGAATACATGGGCAGTATAAGTTGGACTCTACAAATTAAAGAAAAAATGAGTATACAAAGTTTGGTGGGTATGGGGCATGGATGGACAAGAGAAGAATTGGGTCATGGAGATGAATATGGTCAGAATACAATATATAAAATTCTCAAAAATTTTATAAAACATCTTCTAAGCTGACAGTAGTGGCACATAACTCTAATTCCAGCACTCGAGAGGCAGAGGCAGGCAGATCTCTGTGAGTTCGAGACCAGCTTAGTCTACAAGAGCAAGTTCGAGGACAGCTAGGCCTGTTACACAGAAACACCCTATCTTAAAAAAAAAAACCAAAAAGAAAATAAAAGAAAAATCATCTAAATATTACAAAAGAAAAACTTAGAATAAAAAGTGTCTACCTCCAGTAGGAAAGATTCTCACAGCTGACCTTTATGAAAGTTACTTCCAGAAAATTAACCCCCTGTCTTCCATCAGATAACAAGTGGAGAATGCTCGTGTCACTCAGAGCGCTCTTGATTGCCTTGTCTCGAATCTGCTTCTATCAGTTGCATTATGACATAATGTGGGGTGCCCTCTAGATGCTGTGAATATGTTTTTTTACCATTAGTTAATAGAGAAGCTACTTTGACCTAGAATAGGCAGAATATAGGTAGGCAGGAAAACAAGAGACTCAGAAACTGCCCAAATAGGCAAAATAGTCTTTCAAATTTCCTACTTTATAGAAAAGTCTGTCAGATATGGTAGGTCTGTAGGCCAAAGATGGATGCCCCAGTGTTGCAGAGAAACTTTGGGTGACTGTCCAGGTAGTCAGTTGTTTCTGACATTATTCATAATTTTTGGAAGTCGCTTGCTTGTACTTTCTCCTTACTCAGTTAATACTAGTTCTTTCTTGGGTCTATGAGGGAGTTGAAGACTACACAGTTATAATTATAGTTTTCCTTGTTTACCTGATGCAGAAAGCAAGTTATCATAGAAAATCAATTACATACAAGACTTTGGATTCACCAAGATAAGAAAAATATGGAATATTTTCTCTGAATTTGTCAAATACAAATGGACTAGACATTATTGATGTATTTATTGCCTGTATATATTGTATATTGTTATTGTATTTATTGTACAGAGTTTTCTTATATTAGTTATAGTCTTCTTTTTTTAATTTTAGACAAAAAGGGATAATGTACTGGCATTTCATTTGTATTTTAATAAATATAGCTTGCCCGAGGATCAGAAAAGCAAAACAACCACACTGACCAGCCTTACAGACCAAGCAACAGTGACATAGACCTTTAATCCTGGTAGCCACACTAGCTTGCCATAGAAACCAGTGGTGCATGCCTTTAATGCCAGAACTAGAGAGGGTTATAAAAGAGGAGGGGACAGCTCTTAGTCACCTTCTTATTCTGAGGATTCCTGGACACAGGATCACCACTTTCTGATTGAGGTCAAGATAAAAGCCAATGGCTGATTGTTTTGCTTCCCTGTTCCTCAGGTTGAACTCCAATTTCTGTCTCTGAAATTTTATTAATCTTGCTTCGATGATACCACAGAGATAATAAAATAAATCAATAATGTTTGAGTTGCCTTTTCCCCTATAGAAAAGTTTATTTGAACTATGCAACAAAATTTGATATAATAGACCAGCTACTAATGATAATGACCATTTATTTAAATAAATTAAAAACAACCGAGAAAGACTTGGAAGGCTCATAAAAATTCTGAAAAACAAAGATTTAGATTAATTCTTATGGCTCTAACTGAATAAATTAATGTGGGAAATCTCTCATAATTGTATTGTTTGTGTAATGAAGCCTGTGGAATGTCAGACTGAATACACAAACGCCCTTAAGAATGAATTTCAAAAGAGTGATAAGGACTACATTATAAATTACATTAAAGTTATTCATTAAATGTAACAATGCACATATTGAAGGGCCTCTGTATAGCATGCACACATCTCCTCTACTCAGTTTTAGTTCTACTCTTCTGCTTCTTTTCCAGTTAACTAACAACTTTTGTACTCCATATAGATCTGGTTAGAAGTCTTTCCTTCTATCTATTTACTTACTTACTTACTCACTTATTTTTATTTTTTGCCATGTGATAAACATGCCACATTAAATGCTCTACTGCTGGATTTGAGTGTAAGGGCATAGTTTTACATCTATAACCACAACTAAAATTTGGATATCTGAATACTGAGCCAAGCTTATATCGAGAGTAAATGGCAGTCATCTGTCTTGGCCTGTGAAAGTCCACAGGACTGAGAATCCTAACTTCTATCTCATCATCATTATAGGATTACATTGTGCTAGGCTTATATTTTACCTTATACAACAGAAACACCCACATCTCAGAAGGAGGAACAGACTCTCCAGCCACACTCTAGGCCACTGTTTCTCATTTGGTGGATCACGACAACAAAATAAGAGTTAGGAAGTAACAATGAAATGATTTTATGGTTGGTTTCAGCACAATATGAGGAATCTACCAAAGTGATGCCTCATTAGCAAGGTTGAGAAGCACTGCTCTCCGGATGAGTATTGTTCTGTTTGTGATTACATTCATATTACATCTGTGTATTTCTTACAGGTTACAGAGAGCTGTCATATAATTTTACTGGACAATGACTTTGTATGATACTTGGTCTTATCCTGACTGCAGAGGACGCAGGCAGATTTAGAAACTTCTGAAGGTCACATACCTAATAAGTAGGTTGGCCTATTTAGACTTTTATTATAATAAATAGCAAACTAACTTGAGTTCCATGAAATATAAGAAACCAAGGCTCTGTGTTTCACTGCAGTCGTCTTTGGAGATTTTATCTAGAGATAAAGAAGTTCAAAGAGAAGGGTGGGAACCAGTGTAGATATAAAGAGTTATTGAACTGGGATAATAATTATTCTGGTGGCCAGAATCCTTCCACAGACACCAATTAAAGACCAAATTGGATAAAAAAAAAAAGTATGCTAAAAGCTGACAAGGGTTCAAAAGCCAAGGCCCCAGGACAAGAGTCTAAGGTTGATGTCTCCAAGAGATTTTTATTTCAACAATGTATAATTACATTGTGCTTGGCTATGGCCTGCACTATCAGGTCAAGGCCAGAAATAAAAATAAACCAAAGAACAAGAGTCATTGGGAAATGCAAATAATTATGCTGCATGTCCTCAATAAATAATCTCCCATTGTTCTGCTTTACTTTACAACATAAACATCTTCAACAACCAGGTAACAGTAGTATGTAAGTCACGTCATAATCAAATACCTGTACCTGGTAAAAATGTCACTTCATTTTACTAAATCTGTTTATAGCCCTTTAGAGTGCTGTTGAAACTACTCTGCTCCCGCATATTATTTTCCCCCTTTCTTCTTTCTTCTCTTCCTCCTACTCCTCTTTTTATCATTCCCTTAATCATCCTCCTTCTCCCTTTCTGCTTATTCCTATGTGGTGCAACAGGAGTTTCTAAAAGAAACAGACTTAGCAAGACTTAGTTCCAGAATGAATGAAAACAATTTATACTAGTTGCTTTGATTTTACTGAAGTGTGTGAATTAATCAATCCAAAGCCCTAAGCTTTGATTTGCTAAGAATATCATTGAGTGACTTTGGACAGTCCACTTTATTTATTTGGTTTTTAGTTTTTCAATTATATATGAGTAAGGAAATGCAATCCGAATTTATTCAATGACTATGTAAAAACTACAGCTCATTGAAATGTTGAAGAGATTCAGTTTTGACAGGATGATGCCTTCTGGACACATTCTGAGAAAAAAAAATAATCAATTGATTTACTCATTGAAAACTTTTCTGGCCCTCCCCTCTCCCTTCTTCGGGGCTTAAATTCCTCCATCTCAGCCA